CCCTCCAGATTATGTGTTTTAAATATGTATCATTACTTTTTATTAGTAGAATATTTGATTTCATATGCTGGCAAAAATGAAATAAATTAGAAAATATGCATTTTTTTTCGACTAGTGATGTAATTAATAAAACAGTATGCCCTACTATTTGTGGGAAAGTGGTTTAATACTGGGTGGGTGGTTGTCATATTCAGGATTACTCAATTAGCCAAGTACTACCTTCACTGTATTTTTTTTTTTTTTTTAAATACGTGGCAGTAACCAAGAGTTTTGAGAAGTTTATGGACAAATACATTGTAGCATTGAAGAGTATGAACACATTGGCTTATGCTCTACACAAGTAAGTGGTGGTGGCAGCCTGTCAAAATGCATTGTCCGGACATGCCTTCACAGCATCAGGATCATGACAAGAGAAAAATGGTGGGCTTGTCAGAGATGTTAATGAAAACAGGAGGGAAGCGATTGTAACACAACATTCCTTTCTATGGGCCACAACCATTAAAATAAAAAAAGGCAAAAAATTATAATTTAACGACTTTGTTATGCCAATGTAAATGTAGCTAGGTGCAGCAGAATTTGTTTAGATTACAACTTTGATTTTTGGGTTATGTAATACCAGTCACCTGTATGCAGTGTGACAGATGCACTACGTATACGGTCATGTATACGTAGTGCATCTGGTTTTGCATCTGGCTCATACGTATGTGCTGTATCTTGTTGGTGGTGGTATTTTGGGCTCACGTGACTTTTCCCATGTAATTACTGCAGAAGGAAACCTTGCAAAATTATTTCACTTATGCGCGCGCACTTGTCTACTCGTGCATCATTCCTGCATACAGATGCCGACATGCTACATTCATATTGTGCACAGGTCTGTGACAAGTTTTGTTCAACTTGCCAAGAGGCTTTTGGGGTCAAGTCTTTGGTATTTTCCTTTTGATCCTGTGCTTTGTGTTGCTGTTAAACTGAGTCCCCCCCCTAATCTTAGCCTTCAATGATAACGTAAATATAAAAACATAATTCTCAGTCTTGAAATATGAGCCAATGTGTGATAACATGTTGAAGATTACTAGTGCTGGTTTGAAGAAAAAAGTCACCACAAGGTACAAATAATTAAGGATTTGTGGTACACCAAGATTTGCCTGACATATTTTTTTTATTTTTTTTCAAATAAAAACAAAACAGCAGATCACAAAATATGCAAGTTACTACTAACTTGCATATTGTCTGTTCTGTGTAACTGCTTTGATTCTTTCACTGTTCATACTGAGACTGCTGACTTTGACTGGCTCTAAGCTCTGGGTAGCTTTAGCGTTAACCATGTTGCCTAATTTAGCTTCTTTAAAATGTTCTGTGTAAGTATAAAACTGGGTCATTGCTGTTAGCTGTTAGTAGTGGGTGGTAACAATAACATGGAGTGAGATTTTAGTACGGTGTTATAAACTGAAGCCACATACTGATTTTTATTTATACATGTTCGAACTTCATTGCTCAGGTATAAACCTGTATTCATTTATGCCTTAATAATACTGCTTATTTTCTAATTTCTCCATGTTGGCTCAGAAGCGAGACAAACACTCAAAAGAGTTGTCTCTCGATCTCTGTTGCTATGGAGTCCCTGGTAGCCTACATGTAGGTCGGTTGTAAACATTTCAGGGTTGCTGTAGATGGTTTGCTGAAGTTGCCCGTCGATTAAGCTTGTGCTCCTCATTGCATTTTGTGAAATCCCACAAAGTCTTTGCAGCCTGAAATTTTTCAGCAAGTAGGTTGCACTACTGCTCGGTTTCTGCATGACAGGATTCCACATGACAATACCACTAACCTGTTGAGCAGGATGCACTGCAGCAAAGGGTCTGGAGGACAGTAAACAAGACGGGGAGAGATGTAGGTGGAGTGGAGGAGGGGGACAGAAGTGAGTTAAATCAGTCACTCGGCTAAAAAACCAGTGCCACGCCCGAGGTGCCAGGGCTAGTAAGAGCAAGCAGGAGGAATGTGAGGGAAATGAATGGGATTGTAAGTCCTACCATTCACATGGTGAGTTCTTTCTTCTTCTTTTTCATCTTAAGTCTGCACTACTTGCCACATAAACATATCACAAGGCATGATGAGTATGATCTGTGCAGAATTCCTGATGTGAAACTCAGATTGTGAGTGTGTGTGTGGTTTGTTAGTTCAGCTGTGAGTCAGTTCAGTTTTTATACACACATATTTCAGTGCATTGTTAGCACGAGTGCTACTGATCAAAACTAACCACATGTGTCAGTGTGAATTATTCTGGTTGTTATGATTATCACAGAAAATGAGAGGTTTTCCTCTGTGGTCAGCGGACTGCACAACATCGCTGTAGTCTTAAGGTAAAATCAAAACATCACGTGGTGTGTGTGAGTCCGTACAGTTTATTGCCCAGTTAGCAAGGCTTTATTTTTTTTTTTAAATCTTCAGAGTGAAAGGGACAGTGTTTTGTCACGTGTAAATAAAGAACTGCACTCTGTCTGTGCGTCAGGAAACAAACATGCAGCAAAATAAGAATTTTCATTCAGCCCTCTAAAAAAGTCCAAGGGACTGTGGAAACACTTTGAACAGGCCAGCCAGTGATTCGACACTACTGCTGTGAGAGAAGAGTACATATTTTCTGTCTGTGTGGTTGGCAATCTGTTTACTGGAAGGGCTGCTCACTGAGAGCACATGTTGCTGCATGTGCAGTCAGTGAGGCCCAAGAAGTTAAAAGTGTAAATGTACGGGCAGGGAAAGTGTTTTTGTGGCAGCGGTGGGATATGTTTGTGTGCATGCATGTGTGTCTCTGATTTTGTTTGGAGAACGGAGCCAAAAAAATAATAATTTTTTTTAACCCCAGGAAAACCACACTAGAATCCTCTGTGTATGTGTGGTTCACTGGGAGTTAGGAGTTTGTTGGCTCCACTTTTAAGCCTCTTTCTGGGAACCAGCATTCCCTGCTCTTCTAAACCGAGCTGTAAGAGGCTGGAGGGCTTTGGGAATGAAGAGGCATGGGCTGGTTTCAGTATGTCCCAGGTTTGTCTTTTGTACACAGCGAGTGGTAACAATGGGAGGGTTACGTATCTGATATACACACCAAACCCTGGGACTCAGCTGCAAGTAATTAAAGCTGGCAGTTGGCAGAGAAGAGAGTCAGGCGACTGTAATGGCCGCTCTAAGTTCATACCATAATATTTGGATGATGAATCAGGCTGCTAGTAAAAGTGTTGTCATGCTGTTGACCCAAGGCTTTCTCCCTTCTCCATGTCCTGTTGCCCCAGAAGGGGGCACAGAGAGGAGAGAAAAGGCTTTGTATGACCCTGTTTTTGGTCTGTAATGAGATCTGCTATTTATTTTGCATGCTACAGCATTTGATATGTCTTAAGTTGCTGGGTTTTCCCAAAAGTTTACTCTGAGTCTTGACTAACTACTTCAGATATATGATTCTACCGATCCGTCGTCTGAGAAAAAAATATGCAGCTTTCAGTTTTGGATGCTGTATAGTAGGGGGCAATGGGTGTATGCATAAAGTGCATACAAACAAATCTGTGCTTAAACTGTGCGTACAAAAGTTTCACTCACAAATTTTCTGACCTGAATTTGTTTGTGTGCTGCAAACAAATGAACTGCCTCAGACTGTGAGCACAAATAATCAAAGTCCTGCTGTCTTGGAAATGTAAACAAATGTCTTTATAGTGAAAGTAATGATGGCTTAATTTACCTCCCACCTTTATGAAACATACTTTTAGAGAAATTTTTTAAAAGTTCCAGATATTTCACACGTAGTCTTGAGTGAAAATGGGCATCATTTCATCCTCGATGGACGTCATCATCACAACCTAATTTCTTGGCATTTTCTCACTTGTTTTTTTGCTTTCTTTTCATGACTGTAGTGATTCTCTCATCTTTAGTTGACACATCAGATGTCTTTCCAATTTCTTCTTTATCTTCTTGCCTGTATTGATTTTTATTATTATTCATATTTTGCAGCAACTTTAATGATGAACTTCAACGATGGAATCATTTTTTTCATGTTATAATACAATGTTGGAGTGCTGTTGCTTATATGTGAAAACATGGTGGATAAAGGCTCCTGTGTAAGAAATGTGCTAAATTACCTCAAATGAGGTCATTTAAACACTACAAGTTGCTAGTTGAAAAAGGGAGAGGTGTTAAAAGAGAGTGAACTTCCATGACCCCTGTGGTGACCTATCATCTCTGTTTACAGCCATTAGCCCGAGGCAACATTAGTGCCTTCTGTAGTATAACAGAACACACCTGAATCTCTGGCTGGACTGTTAGTAGCGCGTTGCACTATAGCTAATGCAGCCGCCAGGCTTTAACAAGCAAGAAGAATGTGGTAAATTAGATAATATCTTTGCATTGGCTGCAGCTATGCTATTTTTATCTGTCTGTTGTGACATCAGTAGTTTTACAGAAGATACGTGATAAATTAGTAAATCTTTTAAAAACCATGATGCTGCTTTTCTGATATGCAAAGATTCTTTACATACATTTCCATCTAATGTCAGTCACATTATATAGCTTTGAATTCCCCTTGAATTTTTAGTTTGTCAGCAAATTGGGTGAAAGGTGTGGCATGACTATTCATACTTGCAGCCTGCGACAGGCTTTGGCTTTAGTGAAAAGGTGAAGACGCGTTTGGCATCAGAACTGATGGTGAAATATGTTCCAGTGCATTGTTCCAATAGCCCTAGCTTTGCATCATGTGTATTTGTGTGTCACTGTGTTGGAGTCATTGCCAACAAGGTCATGGTGGTTCTTATAACTGTGTAAGAGTGGTGATATGACATTGCTGTGTAATTATATAATTTCAGAAGAACGTATGAGCCAAAACCAAAAAGGTTTAATCACTTTCAGGTTTCCCGTTTACAACTCGGTCATGGAGCTGACACATTTGATGGTGCTCAACAAAAGCTGTTGAGATCCTGTAAATCTGTCACCTTACTGTCGCTTTTATTGGTTCCCCCCTCCTTTCACAACAGAGTCAGTGTATGACCTTCTTCCCAGAGAGCTGCAGTTGCCTTCATCCACTCAGCAAAGCCCAAAAGTCATGAGTCAAAAGAGCGGCGGAGAGGCAGGGCCTCTCCCTTCAGCTTCTCTAGCATCAGGTAGGATCCTGCTTCTCTTATCCTTATTTCTCCTCTGCAAGCAGGACTGATCATGCCCCACCCTGAAAAAAGTACAACTCATGTTACAGTCTGTACCTTCAGGCAAACAAACACCTGCATGTGGCAAGAAAGCCAGTCAGGCAACCTCTGTGACTGCTCCTCTGTGATTCTCACATGAAGGAAAAAAAACAAAACAAACAGTAATAAAAGGCTGGTGAGGGAAGTTAATGGCAGCTGAACATAGCTAGCTGCCTGTACTCACGTTGCTATGTACTATATGTTGTGGTCTCTTGTAGCAACAGTTTAGAAATATGGTTTATGCACATGTTTTAAGACAATGATATTAGTGCGTAATGATAATTAAACTGCAAAGTAGAATGATTGTAGACCATAAGAATATGAGGCCCCGGCAAAGGCCTGTTATTCATTACCCCACAGACTAAATCTACTTACCCATTTTTTTTCTTAGCCTTTTTTTCCCCAGAGAATTAAGAAGCTTTGAATGGCTGTAATCACCTTGTTGACCATTCTGCAGTTCCAAGGTGGAGCTGTTATTTACAGAAGAAAATCTTCTTAATAGACCAACACAGAAGTCCAGTATAAATGAACAGCTAATGACTATTTCCTACACAAGTCAAAGTTGCCCATTTTTTTGAGGACTGTTAGCTTGTTGAGAGCTCCAGATTTGGATCCGGATCGGAGGGTGAGCCACAGATTGTTAAATGTGTGAAGATAAGCATATCTTTTACCTGCCATTGTTGCAGTTGGGTTTATGGTTTCATGGTGGAAATTAACACATGAGAGTTTTGCAAAGATTCTAGAGATTAATTAAAAATCTCAGCATGTGCTTCTAAAAACAAAGAAACAACAAAAAGTGCTGTGTCACTGATTTTATTTTATTTTTTCTAATTTATCTTTTGATGTTTTAACTTGGTGTTCTATGTTCACTTGATATTGAAGTTATTCAAATGTTTCAGCTGACCTGAGACTTTTAAGTGACTGATCCAGTAGTTATTCGAGGAGAGATGAACACTTAGGGGTAATAATGCAAGCGAGGTAGGCTCAGAAAGTCCAGGAGCTCCAGACTCCAAAATCAAGTCAGTCACTTTTGCATGCATGGGACTTTGACAGTACAGACTGCTATGATACAGACTTAGGTAGGTTCTATTCATTGCCTGACCCAGGCTTTCTACCCCCTTTTTTGTTTTTATAAATATTTTTCTTTCCTGCCTTCTTTTGATTTTTTTTTATACCAGTCACAGGTCACTGCTTCCACAAGCAATTCATGTAGACCAGGGGTGGGCAACTCTGGGCCTCAAGGCCTGGAGTTCCCCACTCCTGGTAGATATTTAGATATCATCCCATTTAGATATCATCCTGAATCAAATGATTGGTTCAGTACCAGAGCTCTGGAGAACTTCAAGCCATTTAACTCAGCTGTGTCGGATCAGGGACACATCTAAAACCTGCAGGACAAAGGCCCTTGAGGTCTGGAGTTCCCCACCACTGATGTAGACCAAATAATTCATTGATAGATTCGTACCTATTGATGTTTTGCAGTCACATGACTGCTAACCATTTGACATTAAATTGTTTACCATTTTGGACATGTGACAATATTAGGTCAAGTGAATAAGATCCCAGTCACACAGGCCTAGAGACCAGCTAAACATCCCGTGGTCTTTTCCCATCACTTGTGAAATTTTGGGGTTCCTTGACTAATTGGCATAAACCACCTTGCAATTGCTTTGGTTGGTGACAGATTGCCATGGTCGCCTAAAGTTTGCATGGAACAGACTAAAATGTTTTCACAGACACTCACTGGCTGTTCTACAAGCGGTAGTGAAACTCTGAAAAGTGCAAAACCAACCAGACATGGAGACCTTTTGCATTCAAAGTAAAACTTGTACCTTTTGAAATGTTTTGGCTCCAGTGCCAGGGTAAAGCTTTTTGCTTAGAAAGAATGTTTTCCATTGTCGTTACACTTTTTCAAATTTTCCTACAGTTTGTCACTGCAAATCCAGCTCCCTGTTACATCTGTAGTAGACTTTATTGTGCCAGATAAAAGTAGGAAGACATCTGTGAAATTTGTTTGTTTGTTTGTTTTTTAACTTCTGATTATTGCCTTTACATTCCTAGGATCGACTGTACACGTGTCATAAGGTGATATGTTTAAAAGTTTTAAATGTCCCTCTGTAAAGCATTCTGGGGTCTGAACAGGGCTATGCAAATAAATTTCACTTGAGTAGTTAGCAAGCATCTGAAGACAAGTCGGCATCGTCCATGCAAGCTACAGGCAGCCACTGCTATCTGATAGTGAACAATGCAATCACAAAGAGGTTTTTGGTGAAGCAGCCTCTTTCTGACTGATTTCACCTCACCGGCCAGTCAGAGAATACAACCCCGACCCCCAGCACGACATGTAGTTGTCTCACGTCCAATATGGGGGACTACTATCAAGCAATTTGTGCATGATGTCCTGCAAGAAACAGCCATAGTTTTGATGTTTTCCTGGTTGTTTGGAGAAAAAATTTGTTGTTTGAAGTATTAATCATTTGCTCTCATTTGTTTGTTGCCAATTCTGTATTGTGGTTTCTGATCATGTGTTTTTGTCTCATGATACTTGCTCAAAATGACACTATCTTCATGCGTTTTGTGCGCTCTTTTTTTCTTCCAACCGTTTTTTTTCTTGTAAACCAATGATTCATCCAAACGTCAACAATGCCAAGACCAGTGTAACTCTTTGTTTATAATCTGCCATTTTATGGCGTTATTTTTGTGCCACTATTCTGAGCGCATGTAAAAAAAAAGTTTGCAGGTGCAAGTGTTGTATTTTGAGGAGAAATTTATTTTGAGCGAAGAAAAGCTGAATTTGAGTGAACAAAATTCATTCCTGCGTGCAGAAAATGTATTTCAGTGTTTGCTATTATCCACACACACTCAACATTTCTGCCCGTGCGCGCTCAACTCTTTCTCTACACCGTTATATTTGTGCCACAAAACCAGCCAATCACAGACTTGGATGCAAAAAAATCCGATTGGCTGTTCTGGACTCCAATCAGCTCGAAATGACGAAATGCAATATCCTAGAATCCATTTTGTCTAAAACTCAAACAAGGCAGTGGCGGAGGAACACAGAGTGGCGGAGTTTGAAATATTACTCTTTCTGGGTCACGAAATAAACTTTAAAGATATTTTCATGCGAGAATGGTGCTGTGTAAACTTCAAATACCTGCTCGATTCATCAAGACATCACATATTTGAAGAAGTGCTCTAACGTTTTCGGTGATGCCTGTTACCCACCAGCTGACCGGGTGGTCACTCGGGTTAAACATAATATATAAAGCTGAACTGGCAAAAAAATCACCGACTACACCACCCGGTATTATAGGAAAAACCATAAAGCCTTTGAACTAAAACAAACGCTGTTGTGACAGTAATGTACACTGTCTTGTTGGTATATATGTATGATTTGTATCACCTTCATGCTTCCAAACCAATATCATGAGCAGGAGCTTTTCCAGCTGTGGCTCCAGCAAACATCAGCTGATACTAGAAA